TGCTCAGTCTGGATCAGCACCAAGGACACAGCTGCCTCCTTCACTGAGCTGAGCCCTGAGGGCAGGGCTGGGGCTGTCTTTGTCACCACTGTGTCCCCAGCACAGGGCTGGTTCCCCCACTCCACCCCTTTCCTGGCCTCTCAACTATAAACAACTTTCAGCAGTTCACTCTCCTGGCCTCCATGACAGGGGTGCCTTTCTGCCGCAGGCCCTGAATTTTTCAACGCCCATCACTCAATCTCTGCCACCCTTATTCCTCACATGACTTCCCTATCAGCCTCATGAGGAGCTAGGGTTGACCCTACCATGCCCCAAGTGGGCAACTGAGGCACAGTTAGGGCTCCTTCCTGCACACAACCCTCCACGGCTCAGTGCCTGGGATATAAACCCAGCTTGCTCACTTTGGCCCACAAGGTGCTGGGTGAACAACACCTGCCTTCCCATACTGGACTTTTAATAGACAAGCAGTCCTCAACTGCTTGTCTATTTAAAAAAAAAATTATATATATATGGTTATTCCTCATCTGAGGATTTTTCCATTGCTTTTCAGAGTGCAAGGGAGGGAGGGAGAGAAACATCGATGTGGGAGACACATCAATTGGTTGCCTCCTGCATGAGCCCTGACCCGGGGGCAGGGAGCGAATACGCAACCCAGGTATGTGCCCTTGACCAGGAATCGAACCTGCGGCCCTTCAGTGCACAGGCAGACGCTCCAATCACTGAGCAACTGGCCAGGGCAACTGCTTGTCTATTGATCTTTCATTTCCCTGCTGTTCAGGACTCATGGACTTTCCTCTGTGGAACCTTGACATACAGCCTTTGCCACCTGAATCTCAACAATTGGTTCAGGGATGGTCACATGACCTATCTGAGCCAATTAGAATCTGCCTTGGAACTTTTGCTGGAAGTTGGCAATAAGGAACTTCCTGCTGCAGGAACTAAACTGGAGTGATGAAAGTTGGAACTGCTGGGGTCACTTTGCCAACAGGGAGTGTCTACTGGATAAAACTACTAGAATGAAACTCACGCTGAAGAAAAAAAAAAAAAAGCAGAGATGAGATGGCCTGGTGCCTGGACCCAGCCACACCCAGTCAGGCACCCCGACTACTAAATAACAAGCAAACAAATAGCTTTTAGCTTAAATGTAGATGGATTATTAGTCCTAATTCAGCATTGATCTTGCTAATTCTCCCGGCCACACACACACATAGCAGCCCCAAAAATTACCCACAGTTCTCTGAAGATATGCCATGCATCCCGGCTTTTGTCCAGGGTATACCCAATACCTGGTTAACTCCTACTCATCCTTCAAAACCCAACTCTGGCATCGGTTCTTCTGGAATGCCTTCCTCAACCTCCTTTCTCTTCTGGGATCCCCAAAACAATGGTTTCTTTAGTGTTTGTCATAACCCATGTCCCCTGTAGACAGGGCTCCTCCTGTCTCCATGTCCAGCACTGGGCCTGGCACGGAGTAGGCACCGATCAATGACTGTTTATTGAATAAATGTACTACTGGAGTAGGAAGTGGCTGAGAGTCCAGTATAACATGTGGGTGGGCGCGTGAGTGGATGAATGGGGGTCCCACCTAGGAACTGGGGGCCTGTGGATGAGGCTTTCTGTTCTACAATCATCCTTGACCCTCATACCCCCACTACTCCCATTCTGCAGATGAGAAAACCGAGGCTCAGAAAGGAGAAACCACTGGCCCAGTCACACCCCTCCTCTTCACCTCACATGTAGATGAGGGCAGGGAAGGAAAACCCCAGGGACAGCGTGGAGGAGGGGGACTTCCCTAAGTTTATTGGACAACAGGCTGCAGGTGAGGGGCCGAGAGGAGGAGGGTGGGGGTGTAATAACTTAAAAACCGGAGGCGACAGCGGCAGCTCCTCGAGAGATCTCTGCAGAGGGAGGGCTTGGGGGTATTTACAAGGATTTGTACAAAGTGCCCCGCACCGGCCTGGGGCGGGGAGGGGAGTTCGAGCACGACGGGCAGGGAAAGGGAAGGAGTCTGCCTCTGATCCCCACTCCCAGCCCCCAAATTCGCAGGTCTATAGGCTCAGCAACTCTTCCTGCCCCGGCCCAAGGCCTAATTCTTGAACTGTTGGGAGGAATGAAAAAGTGTCCTCAGTTTTCCTCCGGCCCCTGACCTGCCCCGAAGTCTCCTCAGGTGCCCGATGCAGGTGAGGAGGGTCAGGACTGGCTGAAGGCGCCCCCTGCTGAGCCCTCTCACCCTCCTCTCGTGCCTGCATCCCCAGAGAACAGCAGAGGAGACAGTCTTTGCCCCCAAATCCAAGTCAGGGCAGCTGGAAGGATGACCAGAGAGACCCCCTCCCCGACCCCTTTCCTCCTGTAGACGTGAAGGAGACGAGGGGGAGGACAGGACCCAGGGCCGTGGCTCAGAGCTCGAGGTCGTTGGAGATGCGGGTGACGAGGGTGCGGAAGGCCAGGGCAGTGCCTGCCACGCGCCGGAAGAGAACTCCCCGCAGGCCCGGCCGGGGCAGCTGGCAGACCTCCACTTCGAAGTGGGACAGGGGCTCGGGCCCGCCCGCACCCCCGTGCAGGCAGGCCAGCAGGAACGGCTGTGGCTGGCGGCAGCGGCAGCGGGCGGCCGCGGTGGCCTGGCGCAGAGCTGCCATCAGGGCCTCGGGTGGGCGCGAGCTGGTCAGCTTCACACTCCAGGGGAATCGGAGCAGCCGGGGGGCGGTTTCCGTTTGATCCCAAGGTAGATGGCAACTGAGGAGGGAGGACATTAGAGGTCACAGATGGGAGAGGAGAGAAAGGCAACCCACTGTCCCCTCTTCAGGACAGGCGCCTAGGTGTCCCCTCTGAGCTGTCTCCTTGTCATCCCCGGGCAAAGTTTCAGCTGGACATACATTCCCACGTCTCCCTGCAGCTGGGCACGGCCTTGCCTCCAAACTCCAGGATGCAAGTGGAAGTGACATGCGTGCACCTGCACATACAGCACCTCCTCCAGCGCACACTGCAGGCCCTGGCCCCTCGTGCCCCACGTCCTGTGAGCTGTATCAGCGGCAGCATGAGGCAGCCTCTGCTGTGAAGGTGGCGACCGGCTCTAAGGGACGGTGATGCAAGAACCTGGCTCCCCGAATGAGCCCGGGGAATGGAGCTGCCCTGCCAGCCTGGCCTGGCCACATGGTTTGTGTAAAAGAGAAATTTATTCCTGTCTATTTTGGGGTCTCTTTGCTCCAGCAGCTGGGCTTGTTTCTTAACTAATACATCCTTCTGGTAAGAACAGTCACTTTTCCCTGGAGGACCAACCCTCTCCACTCTAGACCACGGTTCTCACCTAGAAGGGGTACTTGGGAATTTCTGGGGGCTTTCTGATGGTCACAATGTCTTGGGATGGGAGCACTGTGGGCATTGATTAGCTTGTGTATGGGGAGGGTCAGGGACGACACATGTTCTGCAATGGGAAGAGGGCCCTGCACAACGAAGAAATATCCTGCCTCGAGTACCAAGGGTGTTCCTTCTGAGAAGTACTGCAGATCTAGTCTTTCTGGTTTAGGTGGGGCTGACTGCCTCTCAGTGCCAAGGGTAAGCACAGGACTCAGTTCTGGCCAATGAGAGCATCCCATCTCCCTGGTTACTGTGATTGGCTCAAGGATGAGCACATGATTATATCTGACCAATCAGAATACTCCATCCCTCTGGCCATAGGTATTGGTTGGACATGTGACCAGGCCCCAGCCAATGAGAGCCAGTCCTGGGACTTTGTTGGAACTACTGGGGCAGCTCTTTACTTCCACTGGGGGGCGGTCCCTAAACTGGTATCATGTCAAACTAAAGTAGGGCTCGGCAAAGTATAGCACTGCTTGCTTTTTGTAAATAAAGTTTTATTGGAACGTCAGCCAGACCCATTCATTTGTATTGAATATAACTACTTTTGTGCTACAATCGCAGAGCTGAATAAGCATGACAGACTGACTATCTTGGGATCTAAACTACTTTCTACCTGGGGCTGTTAGACTCTGTCTGCCACCAGCTGGCCCAGAGCTGCTGGCCACCACTCTGCCTCATTGGATGAGAGGAAAGGAGGTGTGATGTCTACAGGGGGAGGAGCTGGTTATAGATGGGAGAGGCTGAAGTTAGAGAATGTCAAGAGCAGGTGCTCAAGGACGGGGAGGAAATGAGGGGCAATCGGCAGCGCAGAGAGGAAGAGCTGCTGGCAGAGAAGGGCGGTCACAGGGGGATTCAGGGAGTTGGCCTTAAAGGATGAGACTCAGTCCCGTCTAAGGACCAGGGGGCAGCGGGGGAGGGGCTGAGGGAAGCGGGGTCTGAGGCACGTGAGGGAGAGGGACAGTGTGGCAGTCGGGGGTAGGCACATGCACTTACCTTGTGACCTCAGGTCCCCCGATTCTCTCAGGTTCGTCTGAGACCCTAGGGGAGGAGAGGGGGCCAGAGTGTTTAATCTGGACACAGGAGCCTCCGCTCCCCCACCCCACCGCCTCCAAGACTCTGGCAGCCCTGCCTTGGCCCCCGTGCCTCCCTGCTGGCTGGAGCTGGGCAGGGGAGGGCCTGGAGTCGGATTTGCTCTCCTTTTCCAAGCCCAGAACGGGAGCCCATTCTGAAATGGTTAGTGCAGGTCGTAGGAAAGATACTGAAGAATTCGGAAGACAAAAGAACAGGCAGGTGGGCAGAGACACCCACGTGTAGAAGGGGCAACACACACACACACACGCACCCCTTCCTCCGGCTATGCTCCAACGACCCTCCTCCGTGAGGCCGGCCCCTTTAAAGCTGCACCTTCCCTTTCCCACACCCTGACCCCCCTTCCCTGCCCTCGTTTCTCTTTCGTACTTGTCGCTACCTGACAGTCTACGTATTTTACTTATTTACTGCTCACTGTCTGGGTCCCCTGGTGGAATGCTGGCTCTGCCCGGGCAGGGCTTGGCAAAGTACATCTTGTTCACTCTACTCCAGTTTGGATTGTGCCAAACACACAGCAGGTGCTCAATGAATAATAATGGCAGACGTTTATAAGCATTTTCCAAGGCAACATTCTAAGCTCGGTCCACAGAGCACCTCACTTAGTCCGCACAGCAACTCCATGAGGGAACCACTGTTACTACTATCCCCATTTTAGAGAACAGTGAGGCCCAGAGAGGCCGAGTGACTTGCTCAGGTCACTCAGCAGAGCTGGGGTCTAAACCTCATGAGTCTGGCTCCAGAGGCCAGACTATTGTCTATTAAATGAGTAAATGACCCCACATACAGACCGCCTCTCCCATTCAGAGCACCCCCGCCCCCCCCACGCCTGCACGCACAGCTCGGACATGCAGACAAGGAGGCAGAGCCAGTGAGAGCAGAGGGTGGACAGGACTTACTGATCTTGGATCCCTGGGGCAAAGAGGCGCCCGAAACGCAGCGGTTAGAGTTCTGCCGTTTAGAGGGATCGAGGGTAACCCTGTAGTGTGAGGAGGGAGCGAAGGGTGACGGAGGAGGAGGAAGATGAGGAGGAGGAAGTGGAGGAGGAGATGATATCGAGGTAAAGGAGGCAGAGTTGAGTAGAAGACAGGTTAGGCCCATCAGCCCCCAACCACGACCCCTGTCCCCCATGTCCCGTGGGGCTCACCTTCGGGTCAGTTTGGAGGTCAGCTTGGTAAAGAGGTTGGTGGTGGGGCGGGGCCGCCCGGTGGGCAGGGGTGTGGCCTCGTGGGCCAGTGTGGGAGAGGCAGGGGGCCCATTCTGCACGCCCC